TCTATAATTAGGTTTCGACATAATTATAATTGGGACCGTCACCTTTTATATACGTATATATATATATATATATTCAAATTATGGATCAAATTTTTGGACTGAAATGAAGAGAAATACAAAATGTGCTATTCATCACGTTGAATTCGGATGTATTCATGTCCATACTATATTATTTTTAGATTCAAATGGATTCGAAAAATCAAAAACGCGAATTCAGAAATATCGAAATAAAATTTATTTCTATTATTTCCAATTATTTTCGTTTGCTGGATGACCTATAATTATCATCTTATTTCAGATGATTCTGTAGCAAAACCAAGCAATTTCAAGCCTTATCAACCTGTTTCGAACGAGCAAATCTCACAAGTAATCGCGCTACAAGAATGCTTGAACACTAATACCTTGGGACAGCTATGGACTTCAAGCATGCCTTTCTTATATCCTTTTATTGTACAATTTAGGTACGTTTGTGAATGTACGCGAATGTATATGTCATATTTATTGTTAATCGATTATGCACCATCAAGAAAAAATAATTAAAAGAAACAATATTTTCAAAAAGCGGGAGAATTCAAATTTAAAAATAAAATTTTTTTTTAATTTCCGATAAAAAGAATTTCTTGAAAATTTCAGGTTTTCCCGTTTTTTCAAAATAAGCTCCGTATAAATATCTAAGTTTTTAACTAAATTTCAATATAAAATTTTTTATATTTTTTAGCTTTTTTATGGAAGTCTTAGAGGAACTCTCATAATATTCTCCTTTCAGCTTGATCGCCGCAGCGGTGACCTTCGTGATGGGTCAGAACGTCGGTCGGAGTAGATTGATTAAACAAAAATTCCACGGCAGCAAGGACTTAAACAGTCATACCAGAGTAGGTTGCGATGGTTCTAGCAAGGGCCTTTTTCTGGGTATTCTCTGCATGGTAGCTGGTATCGTGGTGATCCTCATCTTCCTCGTCGTGCGAGAGGATGAAAACTTTCCCTCCGCCACATTGTCGTGGCTTACATGCGGCACTCTGATCGGTATACTGACGCTGAGTAGTCTGATGACAGCCAGTGGTCTCGTGCAGGTGCGTCAGATTTCGGTAGTGACACGAGCGCCTGCTGCCCTGGACAGCCTTTTGTTAAACGTGTCGCTCTTCGGGGTGCAACTCTACTCCGTCTTCACCATCGTGGTGTGCGCTTGTTCACTGGCCATGTCAGATCACGACGAGACAGAGGACACACGAGCTAGACACATCATGCTGCTGTCAATGTCAATCCTGCAACTGGTACAGTGCTTCGCGCAGAGCACGCTGATCGCCGAAACCTCACGACGTTCCTGCATAACACGCTTCCAAATGCTGGCAAAACCCGGTCGCCAAGTGATCACTTTCCTACTCTTCAGCAACGCCGTGCTCTGGGCCTTTGACACCGTAATCACGCAAAATTGGCTATCGCAAGAGCTACAGCTTCGATTCTTCGGCGTGCTCGTCTGGGGTGTATTGTCCAGAATCGGGCTGCCTCTTCTAATCTTCTACAGGTTCCACAGCTGCGTACTACTACTAGAGGCATGGAACAAGTGCTACAGAACGCCACGGGGGGAACATCCTCTCAACTGACAACGTGGAATCTCACACCGACTCTCGTGCAGGTTCGTTGAAAGTAATATAACCAGCAACGATTAAGGTTCTTGACTAGTCAGCACGGCCATATGGGATCGTGATATCATAAGTGGGAAATTACACGTTGAAGTATCTTATCATTATTGTAAATAAAAAGAATCTGGGCAATAATGAGATTGCTTTAAAATAAAACGGTAAAAACATCTTTAAGTGTAAAATATGAAGACGAGAAGAAAACATTTTAATATCATACGATTAAACACTTCTGTTTCAGTGTATATAGTTTCAATTTCAAGAAGTTCTGATTGTTTTTCAATTCGTAAGTGTACAATCTTAATTCAAAAAAGGAAAATTAATAAATTCAAGTTTGATTTCTGTGTAACTTTTGAATAAAAATCAATATTTGATAAACTTAATGTCTCTTTTAATATGGCATTTATAAAACACATCATGTCAATAGACTGCATTCTGGCTTGCAAGAACCTTACCATCCCAGGAGATCAATGCCAATGGACAACGAATATGCTTACAAGCGATTACTACGTCCAAATTCGCTGTCGTTGGACGCAATGCATCTTCTCCCCTATGTGGATAGTGCGAGCTGGCTGTACCTGGATCCGAGTCCCATTTTTCCCGTACGCCTACCGAGTCTGGATTCCGACGCATCGTTAACGTCCGAACAGCATCGTCATCACCATCACCATCATTATCATTATCATCACCGCCACCGCGGCTGCCAGAGAAGACATCGTCGAGTACTGAGTGATCCCGGAGGATGGAACACCGGTATTCGAATGGACGCGACGCGACATCGACGAGTACTCAGCAGTGCCGGTATCGATATTATGCGAGCGTCAATAGAAGAGGCCAATGAAGATAATCTATCGCTCGAGGAGGAGACAAGAGCGTCGACCTTCAGAAAAGTGCCATGGCACCCTAATTTGCATATGCTTAAAATTAGGAGAACGTAACGCAACTAAGTATACGATTGCAATAAAGAACAAAAGCGAATGAATATCTTGAACAAATCTAAAAGAAATCTTAAAAAGATTGAAAGATCTAATCTTTCCAAAAAATTTTTAGAATTTTATATTATTTGAAGGTTAATTGTTATTAAGAAGTAAGTGCATGTTAATTTCAAATTTATGATCGTACTGTTGTCATATTGTAAAGTTTTTTTTCTAGTAAACTATATATAATTCAAAATAAAATAATTCCATAATTATGATATTGCAACCTATTATAAATTGCTTTTAAGCATAATGAATATCGTTAAATTGATAATTTATACGATATACATTCGATACATTTAATGCATCGAATACATTATTTGCCTCTGCACAATTATGACAGATTTTTATAAAAAATGCGAAAGATATTCTAAGAAAAAAATTTGAACTCAAAAACTGGTGGTGAATCATATTTATTGCTCCAATAACGAGATTTAATTTTACCTAATTTTTATCTAATTTTATCTGAAATAGAACGCTCTTTTGCAATGACCTCTAAGAATGCGATATACCGTTCGATTTCACGTGCAATATTTCTAGATTTTAAGTTCACGCTATAAATAATGTACAAATGATCGTTATAGACGTGCATCGTAGACGACGATAACGACGACGATACATTCCGTCGCCTCTATTGCGAGAGCCATTAGGATTGCATCGCATTCGTATGAACGATGAGCGATGCAATGCTTTGTACCTTATTAATTAATGCTGAAAGAGTTGTAATTATTATTCGCGAGCGTATATTTTTGTACATATTTATTGCAAACATTTTATATATGGATCTGATACGATAACACACAAAACAGAATTCTTAGTAGAACTCCGTTTGTTACATCTATTTAAAGGTAAGACTCTACTTATTATTGGATATAATATAAGAAAAGTAATAAAATTTCTTATAATAAGTTTTCCCCTCTTCCTAACATTGTTTTCATACATTACTTCAAATAAGAGAAGATACATAATCAA